ATATGTCTAGGTTCTCTACCAATGGTCCTCGCACCACGGCGCATTTCCACAATCCCATTGTCAATGAGAGATGAGTTCCCAGGTACCTGCAAAATCTGGGTAGTCAAGGCAATGCAAATGCCATGAATTTATGATGAGAGTTGATCTGAGCAGATGAGCTCCCTCTCTGCATTCTCATTGTTTCCAGGCTGAATACTTCAGCACAACTGAGAGAGCAGACACAGCTTTGTAAGAAGTATCTGATCACATGTGCAGATGACCAGTCTTCAAGACTCTGCTACAACTGCACACACCCTGGTGTTCAGCTTCTCTGAAGTCTGTGCATTTCTGACAGTCTTCACATCAAATGCAATAATTGTCTGTATCACAGATATAATGCTCTCTGCTTCTTTGAAGAAGAAAATTGATAGTTGTGAAGAGATTGAGTGTTACAGATGTTGATAATATGAGTGTGAGTTTTCTTTGTTTTTTCTTTATTAATCTCTAAATTGTATTCGCGGCCCTGTTTATTTTCTTGTTTTTTAGCTTTAATGAGAATATGTTTTCTTCTTCTCTTGTGTACACTGCAGACTGTTCATTCCAGTAGAAACTCATCATCTTGTAGACTAGGATTCATAAATGACAGTGTTAATATCTTTATCACAATCAGGTTCTTAGCAAAGATCATGTCATTCTGACTTGTCAGGATTCATGATATGAAAGTCATGTCTCAGCTTCTGCAGATGTCTTATCTGCCTGGATGATTCTCAAGTGAACTCATTCATCTTGTCAGAATACTCTTGTCACTGAACCTTGAATCAGAGCTCATGATCTCACTTCTCTGAGTCAATAATCTCTTTAACCTGATATTCTCTTTCACTCTCTAGTGCTTTATGAACAGGGTGATGAGTCACAGAATTCTCTCCTGAGAATTTCTTGTATTCACAGAGCAAAGAGACATGAAAAACATTATACATCTACAACCCAGGTGACAGTTTCAATCTGTAGAACTGTGAGCTAATTTTCTTCATAATCTTGCAAGACTCTGTCTGCAAGAGATTCAGCTTCTTACTAGATCTCTACATGATGATGTTTTCTAGACTCAGTCAGACTCTATTATCTTTCTTGAAACTCTTTGCAATGTGCTTGAAGTCATAGTATCTCTTCTGATACTCTTGAGCCTTTCTCAAGGATTTGCAGGCTTTCTTCTGAATCTTCTGAATTCTCTCAGTCTGTTCACAGACATCATCACACTCTATAGTGTACTCTCACAGGTTCATCAAGATCATCTGCAGATGAGTCTCAGTGAGCATCTCAAAGAGGGTTTTACCTGTGCTGACATGTTTTGAGTTGTTGTACATGAACTCTGTGAGTAGCAATCAATGCACTCAGTCATTCTGATTGTAATTGACAAAGCACTGCAGATACTGTTTCAATATACTCATCAGGCATTCTGTCTGATCATCTGTCTGTTGATGAAAAGCCATGCTTAGATCTCATGAGATCTTCAGTATAGTCATCAGATCAGATCAGAACTCTCCTGCAAAGATTGATTCTCTGTCTGAGACAATGTTTACAGACAATTCATGCAACCGGATCACATTGTGGATGAAGATGTGAGTCAAATCCTTTGACTTCAAGTCCTTGCAAGTGAGTATAAAGTGTGCTATCTTGATGAAGTGATTCACTATCACCAGCACACTGTCAAAGCAGGCATTATATATGTCCTTACTTTCAGAGAGGCTCACAAGGGCATTCATTCCTAGCTGTTCTCAAGGTTCTCATGAGATGGATAGAGAAGTGAGTTCTTCATATGACCTGAACTGCACTACCTGCAAACCCTGATAAACAGCACAAGAATTCACTATCTTCTTCACAAGTTCTTGCATCTTCAGTTAGAAGTATTTCCTTGTGAGCAACTCATGAGTTCTAGTGTCTGTAAAATGACCTGCTAGAGAAGAGTTATGATGTCTTTTGATGAGTTCTATGTGTAGAAACTCATTCACAGGCACATAAATCCAGCCCTCTCTTTGCAAGAGGTCATTTAAGTCTCTTCAATTCTTTGTTTCTGCAGAGTTGGTCCCTGCTGTAAGCAGTTTTTAAATATGCTGAGCATATTCATTCTCCAGTTGCAGTTCAGATAATCTGGATAGAAGATCTTGCAAAGACTTGTGCTCTGTTTCCTCTTGCACCAGGTCTTCTGTGATGCTTCTCAAAGCCTGCAAACTCTTCAGGTTATAGATACTCTCTTCAAGAATTCTCATGAAGATTCTCAGAGTGTTGACTCTCAGTGTTGCAGAGAGTAGTTGCACAGGCTTCTCTCCTTTCTCTTCCCTCTTCTCTTGTGAGGGATTGAGAGACTCTTCAGTCAATCTCTTCACAACACTCAGTCTGAGCATTCTGTGAAGCTTTTCTGTCTCCTCTAGCCTCTCTGTGTCTGTCACCCTGGCCTTCTTAACATAGTCTGGCCTGTGAGAGAGTCTGTCTGCTGAGTTCTTAGTTCTCTTGATATACTCTATCTTGAATCAGAACTCACTCAGTCTCTGAGCTCAGTGAACCTGCTGCTGTGAGAGTTCCTTAGTTGAAGCAAACTGTTGCAAGCTGTCATGATCAGTTCTAACAGTAATCACTGTCATGAGGCTCTTGAAGTAGTGACATCAGTGACAGAAGAATTTCACTATTATGAGAAGCTTCTGATCATGAATGTCATAGTTGATCTCTGCGGGTTGCATCTTCCATGAGAAAAAGGCCACTGAAACTCAGTTCTCATTTGACTGTAGTTGCAAGACTATTCCTGAAATCACAAAGAAGAAGACATCTGTCTTCAATCTGATTAAGAGCAAGAGATCAAAGTGGAACAGCATCACTGCATTCACAAATACCTGTTTCAATCTTACAAAGACCCTGTGAGCTTCTGAGATAAGAAAGTTCTCACAGTTCTCTCTTCTTAACAATCTTTTCATTCTTTATTCACAGAATGACTTCTTCTTGTTTCCATTCTTCAACATGTCTGTAAGAGCTAAGAAGATTCTTGTGAACACAAAGATAAATCACCTATAGAAATTCACAAAGCCCAGAAAGATCTGAATCTCATGAATACTAGTTGGCTTCAGTCATGATAGAATAGTCTCAACCTGTGAAGGTTCCATCTGAATATCATTCACAGTGATTACATATTCTAGAAAATTAATTCAGTGAGCACTGAAGTTGCACTTCACAAGCTTAACATACAGTCCTGCCTCATCTAAGGCCTTTAACATGCTTTGCACATGCTCAGTGTGTTCTTCCTTCTTCATGAAGTACATCACCACATCATTCAGATATATTATCACAAAGACATTCAGATATACATGAAGTGTTTTGTTGATGAAAGACTGAAATACTGTGGGGGCATTAGCCAGATCAAAAGACATCACTAGATATTCAAACAATCTCAGTGCAGTTCTAAAGACAGTCTTTCATTCATCCCCAGACTGTATTCACAGCCATGCATATACATTGATCACATTCAGTTGTGTGAATATGACAGCTTCCGTGAGACAGTTGATCACATTCTCAATCAGAGGCAGGGAGTAGTGACTCTTTGTTGTCTTGAAGTTCAGGTCATGATAGTCTACACACAATCTGAGATCTTCATTCTTCTTCTTTGCAAACATCACAGAGGCTCCCGCGGAGGCCTGTGAAGGTCAGATGAAGTCATTCTTCAGATTCTTCTTCACATAGGTCTGCAAGACCTCTGTCTTGTGATGAGAGAGCTTATAGATTGGTTCTCAGAAGGGTTTCTGCCCTTCTATCAAATCTATTACCAGATTCTTCTTGCAGTGAGAAGGAAGCTCAGCTGCCTTAGCTGGGCTGAACACCTCTGTGAGATCTCAGTATTTCTCTGGTATCTGAAGCTCAGTTTCCATGATCATGAGATCCTCAGACACTTGCAAAGTCATCATATAGATGAGCTTGTCTTCTCTAATCAACTCTGCAGCATCAACTGCTTCTACCTCTATAAGTGAGTCTGTCAACACTGATTGAAAGTATAAACCTGACTCATGGACAGCTATGTGCGGATTGTGTCTTTGAAGTCATGCAAGTCTCAAATACATATCATCTGTGATGTCTGTGATAATCACAGTTTTCACAAATCTTCTCCAGATTTCAGAGAGATCTTGCAATTCAAAGATGACTCTCATGAGTTTCTCAGTTCTCAGATCTGAGTTCTCACACTCTGCTTGTTGCAAGAGCAGGTTCCCAGTCTTCATCTTCCAGCTCATTTGCTTCACAAGCTTTAGAAACATCACAGTGATCTGGGATCCTGAGTTCATCAATGCTTTTCATGCTTGTGGGACAGCAGCATCACAGTGCAGTCTCTCTCTGTGAGTAAGCATTTTCATTGAAGAAGCAACAGATTCAGGTGTCAGCTTCAAGGCCCTTAAGAAGGCTGTTGCTGACTCTGTCCATGACTCCTCAAATTCCTATTTTGATTTGTTCAGACAGTTTGCGTGGAGATGTCCTAGTTTAGAACAGATGAAGCAGAGTCTCTTTTTCTTGATCTCTCTGTTGTACACTCTGTTTGCAGGAGCTTGTGAAGCTCTCTCTCTCTGCTCAGCAGTCAGATGCGAATCTCTCTGTGTCTTGTCATCTTTTCCTGACAAACCTGTCCTCTGTTGTCCTGGCTCTTGCAGGGCTGGTTGATGGTTCACTCTCCGCGGGTCTGTGGCTCTCACAGTGATCTGCAAGTGATGAATGAGAGTCATCAGTTTCTCCAGGGCCAAGGGCTTAGAGCCTTGCTCAATGAGCTTGTTCTGCATGTCTTTATCCAGCTTCTTCGCGAACATCATCATTCAGGTCTTGTTTCAGGGCCCTGTTTTCACAGGTCTCAATTCACATCATAATTTCATGAAGTGCTGTGAGTAGTCTTCATCAGATTCCTTGCCTCTTTTCCTAATATTAGTGATTACAGCTCAGATGTTCTCTGTCCGGCTCATGAAGTCTCTCAACTTGTTCTCTAGATAGGTCTTGAGAACAGATCATTGAAATCTCTCATGATCATTCCCTAGATGATCCAGCCAGTCCTTGACTTCAGTGTAATAGAGGCCTGTCATTGTGTAGGTGATAGCTTCTTCATCTTCCATGTCACACAGCTGAGCTTGTGAGTCAATTTCAAATGCAAACTTGCAAAAGCTTTTATAGATTGTGGTTTGATAGATGGCCTTAAGTGATTGCGGCTTGAGGAAGTTTCTTTTCAGTTCACAGGTGTCTCTGGAGATCATGTCTAGAGACTCAGTTTGAGGATGTTTACAGGCAGTAAGCATTCCTTGTAGAAAAATAGCTTGATTCTGCGGGAGATGCTCAAGGATGTTCTTCACTGAGATTGATTTGTTTGTGGGTTCAGAGGGTTCCCCTGTCACAGATGCAGAGAATGGTGTCTCATGAGTGGTTGGTAAGTCCTCTGGGACTTCTTTCATGGGGGTTATCCATGGTTTGAGTGGCTGCTCCTGGGTGTCTGCAGTAGGGTTCGCAGGGGTTGAAGCATGCAAGTTTCTAGTTCTTCCAGTCATAACAGGCGGTTGCTGACTGACTGAGCTTGAAATGTAAGAATAAGTGCTCACAGGTGATTATTCAGGTGTTTGCAGCTTGATGTGATATGTACTGTTAACTACTAGAAGTGTTCGCGGTAGGAAGATAAATGTAGAGGTCAAATGTATAATAGCATTCAAGCTGAGTTGTGAATAGTATTCGCGAACTCCAGTCTATATAGTTGTGTGTAGCCAAGGGCCGCTAGCCCTATTGATTACACGAGAGATAGGAATAGGGGTAAAGGATCCGTGAGGAGCGGGATTTCTTACATTTCACCTGTCATATGAAAACTCATACATGTATCAAGAAATCAAGGTTTACTTGTTGTATCAATAGTTGCTGAAAAAGCAATTGTCATGTTGACAGCTGCAGATTGTGAGGTTATAAGATTAGAGAATTCCTTCTTCTTATCATCTTTGTTCTTCTTTTTATCCTTTCACTTATCATGTCTGCTGATACTGGTATTGTTGCTATTATTCTCCTCAGATGTAATGATATATTCCTTGTTTAACTCACATCACTGTTCAGTAGCAAGTTCTGAATATAGATGTCAACAGGTGTTTTTCTGATATTATCTTGAACTGCATATCTCACATTTGAAACTGCATGTGAACAATGTAGAGAGAGTCATGATAGTTGCATTGACTCACTGAGACTTAGAATTTTCATTCTTGAACTTGCTTGTACAGTTTGTCAACTGTTTCATGAGATTATCAATATTGATGTTGTGTATAGAGTTCTGACCAGATACATAGAAATTGTCTAAATATGTCTTGATAAAAGACTTTTAATACTTCTTCAGGCCAATAAGAAAGAGATCATGATAGAAGTCTTTCAAGTTATTTATCAATTCCTTATGACATGTAACTAGATAACAAAATCTCCTCTGAAATGCTAGATAATCATTATCTCTGACATGTAAGATGATGAATTCTTTCACAATATTCATACATTTCTTCACAAGTGAGACAGCATATTCAACTCCAATTCTTTCTCATAGCATGACTGTATTATCTGACTCAAGAGTTTCAATGATTATATGTACAGATTCTAATAAGAACTGCAACATATATTAATACAGTGCTTTGATGTGAATGCTTCATTTTTCAGTACTTAACATGTCTTGACTGATGTCTTCTGAACAGACACATTGATTCTTCATAAGAATGTCAAATTCATTAATGACTTTAGTGTTCACAAGGATTTCTGTACATCAGATCTTGTAGTTATTGTCATCAAATGTGATTACAGCTTTAATATTCATGGCTTTTTGAACATTCTTTTGATATTCACAGATCTCAGATTTGAAATCATCTGCTGCAGAGATGACTACTCAACATGCACTCATTCTGTCACAGAACATTATCAGATCATTGAATGTCATTGATATTATATTATCTGAACTCATTCTAGACATGGTACTTGTGTGTCATGCTTCTGTATATATTGCTTATGAGCTTGAGATGTCATCATTCAATTCATGATCTGCTTCACTATTTACAGATGACTTCATGATCTCTTCTGTGACTTTCATGTATTATGTAGTATCTATTTCCTCTGATTCTTCATTGATAGATGTCTGAGTCTGAGAATGTGAATATAAAGTTCTTCTTCTATTACTCTGTGATGTAGGCATACCTAGACTGACCGTGTGACCGTGTCTGGAACCAGGACCAAACTTTACAGTTGTCACATTGCCTAAAAGCATTACTTCTGGTCATGGTTTGTGTTCATCACATTGATTTCAAATCACATTATTTCAAATATTAAAGATTTCAGATTCACTTTTCAAATAAAAATCTAGTTCTGAATAAAGAATATGTTTGAATTCTTAGTCACATTTTCATTCTGATTTCATTATTGAGAATGGCATTAAATGAGACCATGAAATCACTTCTCACTTACATAATATCATAACATAGTGCTCATTTGTTGAAAATTCAACAGAGAGTATTATCAAATATCATTACTTTTCTGAACACAGATCATAATTCATATAATTTTAATTATGAAAAAAACATAAAATACAAAAAAAAACAAAAAACAAAAAACAAAATAAACACAAGAAAAAATCACATTAAAAAAAAAAAAAAGAATAGAAAAAGAAAAAAACAAAAAATAAAAATAAAAAAAATCAAGATTGCAGAGCTGCAGCACTCTCAAAATACTTACTTCTCAGAGTCTTCACAATGTTCATCACTAACTGTATATCTCTCACAGTAAGAGTAACACAGCTGTGATGAGTCATTATCTTAATATTATCTAACAAATAATCAGTATATATCTGTATAAATATGAATAATTAGAAAACATACATTTAAAAAGTGTGATCAGAGTGAACTCTGCTGTCACTTGAATGATATTAAGAGCAGAACACTGAAATTGATGATTCTTCTCATTGATTTCATGAACAAGGCATGTGAAGATGATCTTGAGAAATATAAGATTCTCTGACTTCTGATAAAAACAGATCTCATGAAGAGACTCTATTTTCATGATATCAGAGACTGAGTGTTATCAAAAAGCATTACTTTCATGCAATGCACATGCACTTACTGTGATGATTCACTCTCTGCACATGTGATCAAGGATTGCAGCTTTCTCACACTGCACAGCTCTCTCTGAAATGCTGCTGTCAGTTTGCAATTCACACAGTCTTTCAGTTCAGCACACACTGCGCGTATGCAGCCCTGTGTGCTGGGGCTGTGTTGATCATTATGGCCTGGCGTGGTACTCACTTTTCATGAGCCATGTTTTGTTTGAAAGAGGAGGGAAAGACGCAACTGTTGTTTTATTGAGAGAAGAATGAATAATTAGTATTATTGAATTATTTTAGTTCATCTGCATTTAAAATTTGATTAGTTTATACTCTTCAATTTGAGAGTTTCTATGAGTGTTTTAATAGTTTTCATACCAGCTTGAACTTAGTGATAAGTTGAAGAAGAAGAGAAAAGAGAGAAGAAAGAAATGAGAATAACTTATCTTTATAATATGAAAACAGAGAATCACTGCAATCATTCTCTCTAGTAACAAAGATCTGTTTTCTGTATGTATCTCTGATATAGATTATATAATAAATGCATACAAAGAATATCAATAGTGCATGCATTGAATGAAGATAATATTGCTATGTAACACTGTAGTTATTTCTGTACATCTCTGAAAGCTGTTAATAGTTTCTTTGTCTCTTTATGTTTAATAAGTCAATAATATATTCCGATGCACTCTTTCTTTCATCATTATCATCATCATCATCATTATTATCATTATCATCATCATTATCATCATCATCATTATTATCATCATTATTATCATTATTATCATTATTATCATTATCATCATCATTATCATTATCATCATCATTATTACTATCATATCATTGCCTGCCTTCACTCTTTCTCAACGCTTATTAAAATTAATCATATCATCTCTCTTCAAATATTCTGCAGTTCTGCGAACCATCAAGGCGCGTGAGCGCTGTCACAGATTGAAGAAAGAGAAGAAGAAGGTGTTTAAGCATGAGAAGACAGATCACAAGGCATGTTATAATATCTTGAAGAGGCTCTGCAAGAAAGCAGAATGATAATAATTTTAAGTAACACTTCTGATAGATTTAGACTGAACTAAGTATAGAAATAATATAAATGATACTGCCTGTGAGAGATTGAAAAAGAAGACAGTGAAGAGTCTCATACAGTAGCAGTGAGATCAGAAGAAGTTCTGAGAATGATTTAAGATCAAGATAAAGAGAGAGAGAGAGAAGAAGAGTGTTACTGTAAATAAGTAACAGTAGAAGAAGATTGAGAAGATATTGAAGTAAGAGATAAAGAAGTCAAAACTGATAAGTTTTTTATTGAGAGATAACAATTTTTGATAATGCTTCTATTCTCTAATTGATTAGCAGGAGCTGACAGAGAAGAAGAGAATTGAGGCCTTGTTCAGGTCTCAAATGCACTTCATGATTCAGAATATTGAGGAGATAGTCCTGCTCTCTGAGTATGTCAATTTGCTTACTGCTGAGGTGGAACCCGAGGCAGCAGACCAGAAAATGCAGGATTTTGAGATGCAGATTGACCTGGCTGAGAGGAAGCAGTGAAAACCCTTCTCTGAGAAGACAGTAGAGAGAGATTTTGAGGTGATTATCATCTCAGATGAGAAGGAGAAGAAGAAGAAGAAGAAGAAGAAGAAGAAGAATGAGAAGTGAATTGTGAAGAATAATAAGAAGAATGAGAAAGAGAAGAAGTAGATTTTTTTCTTTTTATATTAGTTAGTTATAAGTTTAAGTTTTTAATTATTAATAATTAAAATTGATTTTGAGTTTTCAAAAATTATTGTACAAGTTGTAATCAAGTCAGGAATGATATATATATATATATATATTTAACTATCATGATTCACAAATCACTATAATGTATAAGTATCAATATTTTTTCAACATTGATATTCACAATATTAATATATTTTTAATAATATTATCTGATAATGCAATTTGATAACACTCTCTTTCACAATATTAATATATTTCAAGAAATATGACAGAGATTAATCAAGATTGTTTATTTACTTTTATATATCAATAATATTCAATCTGAGTTAGTACTAAAATTATAACTAAGCTAAGAAATAAGATTATTTTCTCTTATATTAATTCTTCTTACACACATCAGTGATCAGTTATTGAAAATAAATTGTCATCTTTCTTAAATTATTATCATGTCTTCTGAATTCACTTCTTTCACTTCTTTTACTTCTATTGAAGATTCATAAACTCTTTAAGAAATCACTGTGAATTACAAAGTCTACATTATTTACAATTCAACACAGAATACTCTCTTTCAATTATAATGAATAATCACTTCATTCTTCATATCTGATTTCAGGTCATGAAATTTATGAAAAACTCAACACAAATATCAAGATGAACTATGAAATAATTATCAACAGGTTGCATTGCAGATTACTGAAGAGTCATCTCTTTGCTACAATCACTGCAACTTCATTCAGAAACATTCATCATAAACTGATCATGACTCTGAAGAAATTTCCTGACATCTGAAGTCATCAGAATGCAGACAATAAAAGAAAAATAATCAGAAAATTACTACTGAGCTGGTAAGTTGCTCTATCAGATAATGATTTTTGATAACACTAACTTTCTAATTTGAAGGAAATCATGTGAAAACAACTCTGTACCAGTACTCTGATTTCATAACTCTCATCTGATAACTTCTGTGAATAATTACTTTGTATGTGTATATCTCTGAATCTTTCTCTTTAATCAATTGAAAACTCTGAATTCTGAACACTTCTTCAAATACTTAATTCAAATCTTCATATTTCACATCAATTCTGTCTTCAGTTCAACCTTGAGACACACTACAAAGTCAATATGCAATATCTAGAATCAGAGTTGAAGAATCATCAAAGAGTGTCTCTTACAGTGAATGCATGAACTAGTACAAACAATCTTACATTTATAAGAGTTACATGTTATTACATTGATGAGAACTGAACTTATTGAGAGATATTAATTGAATTTGAATCATTGATCAGTAGTCATACTGAGAATTATATAACAGAGATATTAATAACTGTGATTAAAAATGACTATTGAGATATTAGTCTCAGTCTTCTTACAATTACAACTGATAATACTGCGAATAACTACACTATGATGAAGAGCTTGGAGCAAAAATTAGCTTTGCATTCCTGAAATGATAAACAAGGTCATATTTCCTGCATTGCTCATGTGGTTTAACTTGTGATGTAAACACTGATAAAGAATCTTAACATCAAGATAAAGAATAATGAGATGACTGGTTCTTGAGATGAGAATGAGATAAAAGTGATTACTCAAGTAACTTTTGCATTCATTTTGTAAAAGATAATGTTTTTTGACAATACTTTTTGATATTGCTTTTTGATAATGCTTTTTGATAACACTACTGTTAATTTTGAATAGATTGACTAATAATTTAAATATCATAGATTTGAAACATTGTTAATGCAATTTGTACCTCTTCTAAACAATAACAACAATTTCATGATATTTAACAAATAAACAAATCAGTCACATCACTGAATATGATACAGAATATTAGAACACAGTGAAGTTCAATATATAAGATGACTGTTCAGACTCTTTGATTGTATCAGATGATTAATCATTGAGTGCAACACTCTGATCAGAAAAAGATTCAGATATTGAAACTTTCTGATATGAAGTGAACTCAGTTGAAATATATAATTGATTTACTGTTTCAGTTTTATAAGACAATAAAGACAGTCTCAATCACTTGTATATCAATACTGCAGTCAGCCTGATGAGTGTATAACAGTTTATTTACTTATCTTGAGAAGCAGTTGAATCACTCAAAAAGAAATTCAGTCTGAGATAATACTATAGTGCAGGCTATTGTTGCTGCAAGGAATAAACTGGCATATTACTATAGCAAAATGAAACAATCTTTTACAGAGTACTATGCTGTAGCAGCTCTACTAGATCTCTCTCATTGAGTTAATATCTACACTTCTCAAGATTGAACAGAGAAGGAATAAGACTTATATGTTAAATTAGCTTAAGACTACTACAATGTCAACTATCAGAGATTTGAATGAGCAGATATTTGAGATGTGAAGACAGTGAAATACAATTCTCTAATAAGTAATAATCTTTGATAATGCTTCATATCACATAGAACTATAATACTAACTTTGAAACAGAACTTACATACATTGATTGTAACTGAAAATCAGGCAAAACTATATGCTTGTAAAACTGAATTTGATCACTATCTTTAAGATGATCTGATAAATTTATATACTAAATCAATTCTAGAGTTATGAAAAATTGTTGAGAGTACATATTCAACTGTTGCACTGATGACATGTGATATTCTGACAATTTTATTGACAGGGATGAGAATGAAGTGAAAGTTCAACTCAAGTTAAGATATTTATCACTATCACTGAGAACAATTACAAGGAGAAATAATCAAGAAACTCATGATTGTAAAACATGAAATTATCAGACAGTTTAATACCTCTGATCACAGTATATCAGAGAAGTGTAGTTTTCATAAGAAAGTGAAGAATAAACTTGCATAAGAATGTATTTAGTTGTTTCATGAGTATTATCAATAATTATTACCAAATTCTGATTATATAAGCAATCACTGAATGAACTGAATGAGACTGATTTTGATCTTCAGTCTCAGTCTCATTCTGATTTTGAAAGAATGATCATCTTTCACAGTTTATCCTGAAAAATTACTCTCATTTCACTGTTCTTGAATTAAATCTGGTCATTTTTCATGCTATTTCTCTCAGAAATGATTCATTTTCAGATTTTTTTGAGACTTGGTTCTGATGAGACTCACATCAAGAAATGTATGAGACCAGATCAAATGAGATCAAATGTGAAATTCATGGTCCCGCCGGCCAGTCTAGGCATACCACTCATCAGTCAAAGAAGAGTTGAATGAAGAAATCAAAAAGAAAAATATGTGTTATATTATACTGTAGAGTTCTGCTATTTCAATCACTGACTAAGCAGGTACACTTAAAACATGCAATGTAAATGTGGTAAAAGGATTCTCCTATTCAGGGTGAACACATTCAATGCTTATACAGGTGTTTTTAAACAAAAGTAAAAAAAATGTAATTCTTTGTAAAAACATGCTATCCAGGCTATAACCTGTGAGATGATTAATCTGTTGTATTCGTGTAGGAAGAGCTAGCTATATATATTACATATGAATCACGTGTAGGCGGAGCGGTCGCTACGGCAACGTCACTAGGGCGGATGCTACAGTAATCATCAACACCCTCTCTTGCTATTGTGAGAGAGGTTGAACGTGGTTGGTTGTTGTTATCTAACTAGTAGCTAGTGGAAGCTAAATATATGTGTGTGGGTCACGTGGGTTAGGGCTTGTGTAGTAGCTCCAACACCCCCCCATGCTACGCAGGCCAGTTAATCCACGCAGTCAAAAGCACTCAAATCATTCAAATCTGCAATAAAAATTAATTACAAAAAGTAAAGTCTAGTTTCCTCAGAAGGACTAGCTTCATACATGAAAAACATAAAAAACATGCAAGAAGAACGCTCAAATTCATTCTTTCAGTATTGATATTACCCCCAGTTGTTCTAACGCCGCGGGATCTCATTCTTATTATTTTTGTGGTTTTCATCGTCATAGGCATAGGCATAGGTCATCGGCATAGGTCATCGGCATAGGTCATCGGCATAGGTCATCATATGGGCAATCGGTGGCCCGGCATCATATAGGCACTGGGGCCTGGCATCGTAGGCACTGTGGCCTGGCATCATATAGGCACTGGGGCCTGGCATCATATAGGCACTGTGGCCTGGCATCGTAGGCACTGAGGCCTGGCATCATATAGGCACTGTGGCCTGGCATCATATAGACACTGGGGCCTGGCATCGTTATCGGTATTTCCATCGTTTTGGCGTCGATATTGGCGGTCATCATGAGCATCATTAGAAGACTTGCTCAGTATTGTAGCATACAGGTGTAGCAGCATCATCATCATTGACCTTCTTTCTATTCTTCCAATCTGCAGGTCATTTCTCTAGGTGTTCAAACCAGCAGCTTGATTCATCATGGCCTTCCATCTTGCAGACAGTGTATTTCTTCTTGATGTTCTTATTATCCTTCACATCCTTGATGGCATCTTTGTTATTCTTTGTGTCATTTCTGATATTTTTATCATCCAATGGCAGGCGGAGTAGTATATCCCTGCAGAGATCAAGAAAATCATCTTCTAGTGATATGACATTATCATCCTTTGCTGCATAGTCCATGTGATCTCTGATAAAGATTGACCACTTCTTGGTGAGACTGTTGAGAAGCTTGTCAAAGAAGCTTGTCAAAGAATATGAAGTTGAAAATATTAGCATATTCAAGGTGAATATACTCAATGCAGATTGTAAGCAGACATTCTATGAACAAGTGATTGAAGTCATTATAGATGGCAGTTGCACTGATATCATTGAATTTCTTGAACAGATGAGCTCTGCAGATTTTCATTCATTCTGAAAAGAATGCTGCTATGATGTTTCATAGAGCAGCAGAACTTAGAGAATCTTGAAGTATAGTAAAAAGAGATTTAACTTCAATAGAAATAGAAGATCATATAAAATTATATAGTTAGAAGTTGTATTCCTCTCAGAATCATTTCATATTCTTAGAGACATTCTTCAAGAGCTTGTTAGTGAGAATATCTTCTATATAAGATTACTTAATAACAAGCAGAATCTCTTTCTTTCAAATGAGATAATCAGATGTTGATTTGAGAAGATCTGATTTTTAAAGATATTTAACATATTCATAGAATTCTTGAAGAACTCTGCTTAGTACAGAGATATTCTTATAATTCTGAAGATAAGCAGTAAGATCAGAGCTTAGATCATTGTCATCATTAACAGTAGCTGTAGTAGTAGAATTGTTAAAAGCTCTTATCTAACATAGTTCTTTATTCATCTGAGTAATACATCATCTCAAGACAGCAGCTTCATCAGCTATATTATCATTATCTTGATTATTGTTATTATATGATGATTTTCTCACAGTTATTGAGATTGAAAAGAATTTAGATGTAGTAGTTTAATTCTCTGAAGTCTCTTCATAGTTGATTGATCTTGTATTAACAGATATTTAATATGAGGTATTTGAATGAAAAAAGCAGCTATTTGAAAAGCTTATTATATGATTATTGCATGATTATAATGCCTTGTAGAAGTGTAAGAGCTTCATAATCTGTGAGAGAGATTGAACATGATTGATTGTTATTATCTAACTAGTAGCTAGTGAAAGCTAAATATATGTGTGTGAGTCACATAAGTTAGAACTTGTGTAGTAGCTTCAACAGCTATGTTGGTGATTACTACACCTATTCTAGTCACGTGCTACTTCAATCTATTCATTTAGTGTAACTCGCGTAGTTAGATTACAACATAACAATGTTATTCTTCAAGAGATTATGAAGCTCTTATTAAGCTAATGAAAATCACTGAAATAATATGTTAACTATATCTTCACATATTATTACATGTGTCTAGATGTTTTTTATGAGTAATTAAACTCATGATTAATCTAAGATCTGAGAAGATATCTGACTTAATAAAAGAATACATGTCTTTGAGATGAAGAAATGAGAAGATATCAGAATAGCAGATACAAGATCACAGATTATTATTAATATTAATAATAAACTGAAAAGTGACTGTCTCTGAGATATTTAAGCTGAATAAAACCATTGTAGAGAAACAGTCTGATAAGTTCAATAATAAAATATAAAGACTTAGTTAAAGATATCAGTGAGATATCAGATAATATAGAAGACTTAAATAATTAGAATAATAATAGCTCTGTGAGTAAGAAGACTTATATAAGACTAGAAATTACAAGACTTCAGTATGAAGTTAAGTGAATAAAGATAGATAGAGATGAAAATAAAGAGCTTAGTATAGATTTAGTAAACTATTTTTAATAGAAGAGTAGAATATCTGTATTAATAAAGATTCTTAATAAATTCAGAGATTAAATAAAATTTATAAAGAAGTCTGTTATACTCACTAACTCTGTAAATTATTCTATATAAAAAGAAGAGATTCTGCTTACAGTAAGATAATCTGAAACAGATAATATTCTTAATAATAAGTAGATTAATTCTGATAAGAATATTAGTATAAATATACAATATTTTTAATCAGAATGAAATATCTGATTATATAACTATATATAATCTGCAATTACTCTGCAGATTAAATCTCACTTTATTATACTTAAGAAGTTTTAACTATCTGCTTATTCTCTATAATCTGTTATAGAGAATAATTTCACTGAGAGATCTGTTATCTGTAGAACTTATCTATTTTAAGAATTGATTAAGATGATATTAAAATCAAAGAGTTCTGATCACATATTTATCAAATATTTAATTATAATCAGAACTGATTATATCTGATTGAAATATAATATCAAAGATTTCATATTTTTCAACAGACTTTTTACAGAGATTAGTAAAGATTGATTATCTTTTATAAAGAATTAAATAAATGTAATAGAGAAGAATGAGAATGCTAAAACACTTAAAAATAATTTCATAAGATTATATTCAGATATTCTTCTATAATTGTTAGCTACTGATAAATCTTTCATCTCTGATGAAAAGATCTCTGTAAATAATACTCAAGATTTCAACAGAAAGAATAAAAAGAATAAGAAGAAGAAGAAGATCTCTGAGAATAAGAATAAAGATTTCATCAAGCTGAATAGAAAGAATAATAATGCTATTAAAACATGTTATTATTATCAGAAGATTGATCACATTTAAACAGATTACTGATTGAAATTTCCTGAAAAACACTCTACTAGTCACAGTAAGAATAAGAATAAGAATGAGAATGAAACAGGCTCAGCATCAGTTTATAATGTCATTGAGTAAGTATTTTATACAACAGAAACAGTCTATTCTACTGATCAAACTAGTAAAGATATCTGAGTTCTGAACTCTGAATTCAGTGCTCATACTACATCTTATAAGAATCTCATATCAATAGTATTATAGAAGATTAATATCATATTAAAGATGACTGACAGATTAACAGCTTCTGCAGCAGCTATAGAGAAGATAAATATATTAGTTGAAGAAGTGAATCTGCTGCTGCAGAATATCTACTACATTCTCAAGCTGAAGATGAATCTTATGAGTTTTGAGAAGCTTGTATATCAGAGCTATATATATAAGTAACTGATCTATGAGAATACTTATTTAATCTTACTAATCTCTTCTGACAAGATGTTGAGTTTTACTGTTAAATTGAGTGATAAGAATATCTACATTCTGAGAAAATAATTAATAACTAGAGACCTGATTTGATTTACAATGTTAAATAATGAATTTAAATCTGTCAAAATTCTACAATCTGTAGAGAAAAAAGATTCTCTGCTAGCATTGCTTAATAAGAATATCGAGATTGTTAAATACACAATGCTACAATGATATCAAAAGCTTGATCATCTCAATCTCATGAATATCACTAAATTAACAGCAGATTCATGACTGAAAATGAGAATTAAGAGTGACAGAGCTTTGCTGTTCTGCAAGATCTGTGTACACACAAAAATGACACATTTAATATTTATATCAATGACAAGAACTGTCAAATCTGTGATGAGATTCTTTATGAATCTTGTAGATAATGACTGTACACTATATAATAAAATCAATCTCTCTACTCATAAGAGAGCTAATTATTGAATGAGTATTACAGATGATATCACACACTACAGATGAATTATTCTTATGATATCAAAGAGTGAGATCACTGCACATTTAATGATCTTTATTGATAGAATTGAGATCACTACTTAACATTGAATTGAGACTTTACACTGAGATGACAGAGATGAATTTAAAAGTAATGAATTAAAGATCTACTATCAGTGAAAAGAGATCACATATAAAATCACTACATCTGATACATCACAGTTCAACAGCTCTGCAGAATATATCAATCATATTGTAAATGAAAAGACAAGAAGCTTACTATTCAACAGCAGGCTTGCAAGAGAACTTTGAAGTAAAGTTATTTAAGTCACAGTCATGATAATTAACACATCTTCAATATCAATAAAGATTTACAGATATCAGAGAGAAACCTCATTATTCTCTTTTAAAGCTTAAACAGATATTCAATCTTCTGCTCATTGAATACACAGATGAGAATGTAAGATGTATAAGAAGAATCTGAAGATTATCAATAAGCTCACAGATAGAACTAATAGCAAGCAATGATAATTAGTTGAATATCAAGAACTGTATTAATATTATATCTAAGACTCTGCAATCTGAAAGCTTGAGATTGTAAGAGATATTATTTTTAATGAAGAATTGACAACAGAAGAAGCACTGACAAATGTCATTAGAGAAGTAGTCAAACTGTCAGAGAAATTGAATATTCTTAACATTATAAAAAGATAATAACACTGTCTTCTAAGAAGACTTGCAAAGAATAAATCTGATGTTTTAAAGATACTTGCTGATGATGATATGAACAGTGCACTGAAACTGATATATCTACTAGATGATGAGACAGAACTTGTTGATAATGATATGAATAACTCTGTGAATTGTGGTTCGGAAGAACGTACGACTGTCGGATAATAACGCGGCCGCTTCCGAACTAGCTTATGAGTGTAAAGGGGGGGCCATAGTGGCCACTAATTAATTTAGTGTATGATATTACAATATATAAGAAGCCAGTGTATGCCTGTAATTATACACTGACTTAAGCAATCTTTGAATCACATCTGATAGCATGTCTAAAAACTGGTGAGAAGTGCAGACTTCTTCAGAGTGTGATAATTCTATTTATAAAGTGATTTATAGTTATCATGTCAGTGTGGTTCTAGAACATCTCAAAAGATAGTGTATGAAGAGTGATGAGTGAAAGAGCATTTGATTGATACTGCTTTGCTTATTGAGAGAAAACTTCATGTCCAGGCGAATGCCATGTATGAGATGCGAATGAATGAGATGTGAGAAAGGAAATGAGAGCAGTGAACCAGATTCAAAGAAGTTCACTCCCTACTCAAAAGAAGGATAAAAAGAGAGAGGTAGTCATCACTGAAGTCATACAATGATAACAGAAATCATATAATGATATAGTGATATAATGATACAGTGATATAATAATAGATATTGTATAATTAATGAGAAATCACTGAAATAAATATCTTCTCTAGCTGATATGAACAACACTCTTCTCTGCTACCTGAACTGAAAGATATGCAGAAA